TACCTTGTCACATATATCCCAAGATATGATATCCATAAGCATCCAGAGTTTCGGCGCAAAAATTGCAAGCCTTTCCCAAATCGAAGATTCCCATTCCATTTATCCCATCGTAATTCATCTCATTTAAGATTTCGCCCGTGACTTCCGTTTATGTTGATTCTAGGGTTGGAGAGACAAAGTTTCCTTCTCTTCTCATACATGGAAATAAAACTTAAGTATGATGACCTCCTCTGAGTGAGGCAGCTCACGTCATTTTGAGCCAGCGGATTTCGTCGTGGCTGGGCGCCGGGGCCCCCGTCGCAAAGAAACATTAATGGAAGCCGTGTTGGCTTCCTGCCCTCATTCATGACGAGGTTTTGAAAATTCGAATGAACAAAAGGACCATCGGATTCAATTGTCTTTAGAAAACAACCTCGATCATTCCATTCTGGAGCGCGAGGGCAACCACTCGTTCACATTCTGAAGGGTCTCCATTCAGACCCCTCTGCACAAAGTGCGGAATGGATTGGCCTTTTGTAAAATCGGCCGCGCTGAATGGAGTTCTAACCTTGCACTGTTTGCAATTAGAGCCGCCGCGGCCTCGTAGTGAGCCATCCGCACGGCATGCATCAATGGCGTGCTGCCGTGGAAATGGTAAGCCAGGGTCGAAAATGCTGAGACTTTTCCGAAACGGTGTCCCAAAGCTGTGGCTCGCATCACAAGCCTTCCCACACGGTTCAGTTCACGCATCATGTCGTATTGGCAATTCACATCGGCTTGCCTGGCAATCAAGTGCTGGACCAGCTCCACTGAGCCACCTCGCATTGCGGCAAAGCCAAGTGCTCTGGAGAGCTCTTCGGTGCTCGCATGCAGCTCCTCCCCGCAGAGCAGCGAATGCATATTTACCGCCACATCCGGGGTGTCCAAGAATGCCCAGGGCTTCCCGACGAGCCCCCCGCGGCGTGAAGGGCGCGGAGGCCTTCGACGTTGTCCATCACGACCGCATAGTGCTGGGCTGGACGCCGCCTTCCATTGCGGCGCCAGCGGAGATCAGAGCCAGAGCTGCATCGCGGTGGCCGTGACTGCCAGATCTAGCGCGCCATGCCCGAGACAGGCTCAGGCTTGGAAGTCCGTTGGTTGACGGATGCCCGCAGCTGCAAGAGCAATCGGATAACCTCAGCCTTGCCGGACAATGCTGCATAATGCAATGGCCGCCAGCCTGCTGTGTCAGGTTTTTGGACATTCCTGAGGCCGCTGTGGAAGAATTCTGACACTGCATCGGCATCATTGTCGATGGGGTGCACTCTCTGCAAGTTGAGCTGGCGCCGGAAGCCGGAGAAGTCCGACGTCTTCAAGCAGTGCATCATCTTCCGCAACGCAATATTCCGCATAACTGGCGCCAATTTCTGGCGATCTTCTTCCTTCGAAAAGCTGCCTTCTCCGACTGGGCCTGTTAGAAAGGACGTCGTTCCACCCGCTACGTCGAGGCAGCTGCTACTCTGAATCAGAATCCAGGTGCTGTCTGGAGACAGCTCGCGTGCTGCTCTCTCCACCCGGCACCAGCCCTCCTTAGCTGGCTTCAGCACCCTCCGGAACGTTCACCTGTCAACCCCAAACCCTGAATCCTGAAAGGGTCCACAGAAACAAACTGAGTAAGGAGGCTTCAGGGTTTATTTAGGGTAATGCTAAATGTGCAGACTAGTGCAGACCCCCAAGCATCCAAACGTGATTATAAACAAACGAAAACTGAGAAGCTAACTTTCAGGTATATGGGGTTTAGGGTTGAGGGCGAAGCCACAACTCCATCCAAGCAGCTGGGACCACATCATCGCACCGAGCACTTTGGACTTCGACTTGAGAGTTGGGCAAAGCGCCAGAGAATGCTTGCACCTGGACACATATGCCGGGATGCTGCTGATAGCTCTCGCTTGCTGGCTGCCGTCCCTGTCATCGGCACCACACTCCAGCTGCGGGACAGAGAAGTAGTCATTCCACAGCCACACAACCTAGTGAAGAGGTCTGAAATGTGCTCTTCGCAATCCGTTTTGCGAAGGGCACAAAAATTCGGTAACGAAGTCCACAGGCACGCAGCCGCCAGCGCCCAAAAGATGCGCAAAGGCGCTCTGTAAAACTTTCAGCTGGGTGGTTTTCTGGGATCCAAGTCGATGTGCGCACGGGGGTCTTCCAACGAAAGAAACCCTAAACTCTACGCCCTAAACCCTACCCCAAAACCCTGAACCCTAAACCCCTAAACCCTAAACCCTCCTTCTGCCGCATCTTCTGGTTCTTCGACTTGCGCGGTGGCGGCGTGAAGTTCTGGCTCCAGCGGCTTGAAATCTCCGCCCATTCTGCCTTCAGCTTCAGCTTTTCCCACACCTTGGTAGCCCAACCATATGATAAAAAGGGTACCCTTTTTTGGGCTGGCTACTTTACGAGGGATCCTTGAACCAAAAAAAGGGAAACGGGCACCACTGTGCTACCAAGACACTTGATGGAGGACGTCCTGGCATAGCAGCTCTTCTGAGATCCACAGGGAAACTGCTTCAACGCGCCGCGGCTCCATCATTGCATTCGCCACCAAGTCGCGTGCTCTTGCCAACACTTCGTCTTCGGTGTCGTCGAAATGCATCTGCTCGAGGTCACCTTCGCCCAGGGTCAGAAAAGACTTCGATCCAATGCCATGCTGCACCAGTGTGGCCGTTGCAAAGTCCCGTGCCGCAGACGAAGTGGCGAACGCATCTCCGGTTTCTAGCAGAATTTGCTGAAGCAGCCTTTCCTCGTCGCACAAAGCCGGCGGGGAGGAGAACGGGAAGACTGCACTTCGCCCCAGATGTGTAACATCATCTGTCCGCAAGCCTAAGTTGAGCTCGTCGGACACCTGCAGGATCTTCTCAACCATTTTCAGCGTCATCCACCATGACGATGTTTGAAGACTGCGCGAATAGGAACTCGGCGTCGAAGGAGCCCAAGTTCTTGCCAATGAAGGCTACAAGTTCCATGCGCTGTGCCTTCTGGATGTACCGCTCCCTGCGTCCGTTGCCCAGATTCTACGGTTCAGGTTTGGCTTTATGTAAGGGCTGCTTTGCTTCGCCCGAGGGCAACTGAAGCAGCCACCTTTTGGTAAGCTGGTTCCGGGTTGCGAGGGCAGCCGCTTGATTGGCAGCAGGAGATGGCTATGGCCCCAGGGCTTTCCACCGACACGGACAGGTGCACGCCCTGGCATTCGCCTTCGGGGTCCGGGTGATGCTGATTCATCCACTGGTGCGACACAAAGACGGCCGTTTGATCCGCGCTGTCTTCGAACTCGACCAGCTCCCCGCGCGCCTGCCCCGCCCAAACTGCCTCGTCGACCTAGAGCTACACAAAGCCGGGGCAAAAAATCAAAACGATAAAGGTGCAGGTACCCTAAGGCTCTAAGTAGGCATTCTTTGTCGCTTTAAACAAAAGGCAGAAAATGCTAACTTCTTTTATGCAATCAGTATACAGTAAGCCGAGAAGTTTAAGTGCTTCCAAGACTCAGTACATACAGTCTCAGGGCCAGTACTGAGGGTTCCTGTGAAGTTTGAGGAGCTGCGTGGGTTCTCTCCCGCCTTCAGCTCATGCGGCTGAATAGCTGTCATCCGCAGTAGCGTCTCAGCGGCAACTGTGTACATGGGAAAGAGCATTTCGGCCTTAGCAAACCCCTAAACCGTAACCCCTAACCCCTAAACCCTCAAGACAAAACAAACAGAAATTGTATGTCGTGTCATTCTGAATTTCCCACGTCCCGAAGACTCAAGACCGCCCAAGACTTCTGAAGGCTCAGCCCTAAACATCGCTGAGCCCTGCTAATCTGAGTCTGAGTTGGGTGTAGGTGTAGGTTTTGGGCGGAGGAGGGGGTCGGCAGGCGCATGTCGCGAAATCGAGGCAATTGCAGGGTTGGGCTTCCTTTCTCAGATTGAGGTGGATGATCAGCATCCGAAAAGAACTCCAAGTAGTTAAAACCCCCCTCTGGAGTTTGAAGGGTTTTTAAGGGTTTAGGGTGTATGCTGAGCCACACCATAGTGGCCATAGTCCTCCGGCGGGGATGCGGCATGAAGCTCCAGTGCAGTTGGGGACCTCCCCGACTTGCAGCAGGACATGAGCTCGACTCAGCACCCTGCACACTACCTTTCCTGGAGCCAGAACACATGAAGAGCGGAACACACTGCTTAAGATTCAGGCTTGATGATTGGAATCGGGTTTGGGGTATGTTATACAGTAAACCACGGGCTTCGTGCAATGGTGGCATGATCATCGCCGGCAAGAAAATTCAGATGTAGATGCACTGCGCTGAGACTGAGAAGAGTATACATTATGGACGCGATTGGCAGCTCTGTGCATTCCGTGGGTAGTGGCTCAAGAGAAAGGCTGAGTCAAGGAGAAAATAAGGGTTCATAGCAGCATACATCCCAAGGATTCCTCGATGACTACAGTGCAGATCATGCAGCTACAGATCGCTCAGATGATGCTCTCCAGCAAACAATCCAAGACCGCCGATGTACTGCCTAGGAGCCAGTCCTTGATAAGAGAGGACACTGCAGGTACCATTTTGCCGACATAGCGCGATGCGAGGCGTGAACACAGCCGAGCAGCCCAGCAGCATCAGCTCTCGCACTTGAAAGACTTGATATCTCCCGGGGCGCTCTGGGCGGCTCTGTTGAAGTCGCATAAGGCCACCATGGGCCACCTGATCAAGCCAATCAGGTGTTTAGCCAGACCGCCTCGGCAAGTCTGACAGCAGCCCCCTGGCATGACGCACTGTCGCGACTCGAAGCGACGCGTAGCGGGGAGGTTTTCCCAAGCTTCTTGACCCAGCTGATGTAAACTTCTCAACTATGCAGAGGATCGAGTCGTACCTCTCAAGGGGGCACACCTTTGCGAACCTGCGCCGCGGCAAGCTTGCAGCACCTCGCGCGCTTCAGAGTGGCCCAGTTTCCGGAAAACCTTCCACCATCTTCCACCCGTTTCATGTCAGGATCCGGCCTCTGAAGCCGAACCGACCTTCGGAATGTCCGGCTTGGAAAAGCCTCCAGCTTGCCGTGCCTGGCGACAACCCCGACCCTTCCACCTGTCAACATGGGCCCAAAATGATTCGGTACGGCTCTCAGTGAGGGCTCAGGGAAGCGGGGAAGTGGCTGGGCCGGGTTTGGGGGCCGAAAGTAAGGCTGCGGGAGAGCTCGGGCACTTTCCAAAAATCTCTGCATGGCGACAGCCTCCACGAGGATAGCAACTTCGGCCTACATCCCCGGACCCCACTCAGCAGATGTCTTAGGGCCTTAGAATGCCCTGTAGTAGGGCCTAAGGCCTAAGGGGGGCCTGCCAAGAGGGGCTAAGACGGGAACCCAGGGCCACTGCCGAGTTTAACAGCTTTGACAGCTGGAACCACAGGGTTGGGCCAAGCCTTGGCGCGAAAGCTTTGGCCCCTGAAAGCTACGAAAGCTACAAGGAGCAAGAGAATCGCGCCTTCGTACCTTGGCACGGGCTGCTCTCGCCTGGCAGAGAAGCCTCTGCCGGCTCTCAAGTGCAGCACGTTGGAAGCAAAGTCTTGACTGTCGAAACGCAAGGTGACCACCGTCGCTACCGTCACTACTCTCTGTCCTTCTCTCCATTCCTCTCTCGACTCTGCTTGGGTGCAGTACCATGCAAGCCTCAGTGCCAAGATGGTTGGGCTTTGCCCCGCTTTTCCGGCCCAGCGGTGAACGCGTCAGGGCGCTTTAAGAGGTGCTAGCAGCTTAGGCTCTTCGACCGACTTTTATTGCTTCGAGCTCGGTGCTTTGCAGGTGCGTTGCAGGAGGCAAAGGGCTCCTCGGGGCAAGTACACCCAAGACCATCTCTGTTTTTGCCCTGCGCCCAGACTCAGCACCGGCCCAAGCAGCGGCTCAACTCTGGGACTAAAACCGTGGAAACTAGAGACGTGAAAGACGTCCTGAAAGACGTCCTGAACCACTTGGCTACAATATCGAGGCCCCCAAGCAGGCTCCTGGGGAGGGAGTGCAGCAGGACTCCTGACCGTCCTGACGTGGCCGGGCTTGGGGTGCCAAGTGAAAGACATGAAAATTTCTCCAGAATCCAGAGAGCGACCGCAGAGACCTTCGACTGCTTCGATGAGCTGACTGCTGCACAAGTACTACGATATGTCGACCTTTTATGCCTCTATGAGTTTAGGCCTTTCTGCCTTTAATGCTTTTATGCCTTTAGGCCTTTATGGGCTCACGCCGCCTTTGCAAGGCTCGTTGCCACACCGTGCCCGCAGCTAATGCAGGTCTGCTCACGTGCTCCAAGGTGGCAGCGCTGCTGTGCTCTCCATTGGCCCCATTGCTTGCATCTTGCTAAGCCCTTAGCGTCTCAGGAGCCCTCTCTGTGGCTGAACCCAGATTGGCCTTGCTTTCTGTGCTACAACCGCCGGTAAGGCACCACTCAGAAGCTGGTGGCGCGGGCTCGGACATGTACGGGTGCTCCAACTTCTTGAGGGTCTGGCGACTTGAGAGCTTGCGGTTTCGGCCGATAGATTACCGCCAGTACCGCCAGCAAATCGCTAACAGTCCATCGGGCGCAAGGCGGTGAAAAGCTAGCTGGTCACTGTGTCTGGGATTCAATTATGGATTCAGGGGCGAACTTTGAGACTTTTCGTGCAAGCCGCAGGAGACCCTTCTCGCAGACCGAAGCGGCAGCCCGTCTAGACGGATCGTCCTGAATGCCCTGCAGCACTGAAAGTCTCGCAGAATCAGACCCAATCGAACATACCAGCAAGCTTCACCATAACTTTCTGAAACGTTTTCGGGGACCCAAACCCATCTGTAGCCAATGACTTCCGGGGTCGTAGTTCTAAAGTCCCGTCCGATTGCTCAGGGCCAGCTGCGACGATACCTGGAATCTGTCCCCGCAGCAATGTGACACAATGGTCACGACGAGCTGCAGCCGCACGACCACGAACGGACTGATCCAGACTCTTTGGTCCTCCCGTGGCCTTGCAGGTGCCCAAACGGCTCTTGTTCAGGAGTTGAGAGATCGTTGAAGCCGGCAGCGCTGCACGACAGATGCTTGGAGTCATTGGAGCCGGCTCCGGAACAGAGATGATGTTAAAGGAGGCAACAGGCAACACCGCTGCCTCGGTTGCCTCAGTCTGTGTGGTGCAAACACACAGCAGCCGGGGCGCCAGCTGTGACAGGTAAGACAGGTGAGGGACTTAGAAGGAGCTTCAAGGGTAGAAGCCGCAGAAGTCGAACAAAAAGTCGCGGAAGGCTGCGGCCTTGCACTCGGAGTGCAAGGCCTCAGCCTGCAAAGGGCGAGAGTTTGAGAATCTTGGAGAGGCGCGCCACATGCAAGCGACTCTGCATGGACCCTGTGGACCCTGGCCACAAGAGGCAAAGGCTTCCGTCCTCCCAACAAAGACAAGGCAGGGAGTTGAGGCTCCAGTGGCTCCAGGGCTCGGCAACGTTCGTTGGCAAAGCCTTCAAAGCGAAGCAGCTGATCCGCCTCACTTGGTCGCATGCCGGCCACCTCAAAGCGAGCCTCAGGCACGGAAGCTTCTCATGGCGACGCGCGTCACGCTCAGCCGTGAGCGTGTCTTCATCGAGGGGAAGAAGCCGCAACTCGCGAACGAGCTGCCATATTCATCCTGAACTCCTGCGCGCTATCCATGCCATTTCCATGGTGCAGTTGGCGACAGCTGCTCGCGCGAAACTAGGTGGAAGCTTCACGTGCCCAAGCTGCCAAGCTTGGGAGGACTATGTGCCTCCCAGAAGCCATTGGTGCTTCGAGAGCAGGCCATTTGAAGAATCTGAGGTTTCAGAGCCCTGAACCCAAAGACCATCGTCTCACTAAGGTCTTCAGCGGCAATCCGTCCTTACACCGGGATCCTTATCGACCACATACCCCTACTTCTAGAGG